AACAGTGGTTCCCCAAAACCCTGTAGGTGATTTGACCCACGTTAAGAGGGCCCAAAAGAACCAGGCATCACCGCCTAAGCCGAGCAACCCAAGTGTTACTGCACGAAAAATAAGTGACGATTTGGTCGCACAGTCTACCCCCAAGACTGTTCGTCCGGTCAATAAAGAGCCCAAGACTCAAAAACGCACACTGACCTCCAAACAACAAGTTATTAAACAACAAGTTATTAAACCTGAATCCATCGTGAAACCTGGTAAATTAACAACAGTTCGTGACGATTCTCTCATTATCATGAACCTCGTTGACAATCCTGGCCTTCCTCTCAGTCTGCAGGACAAAAACGACAGGATGCTCTGGGGTGAATTGAACAAGAAGCTCGAACTTCCTAGAATAGAGCCTTTGACGGTCACCCGGCTCACTCGAGGAAAGGATTCTAAGCATCTAAATCACCCGAGGCTTCTCCGAGTAACACTTAAGAACGCTACCGACGTAGAGGACGTCTTGCTAGCAAGTCACTTGCTAAAATCAGATGGTAACGTAAGAATATTGTCCTACATACCGTACTCTGAGCGCAATCTCATACGAAACATCCCTAAAGAATCTCGCGAGAAGTTTTTCCGCGGAAGAAACATAATTGTTCAAGGTATACCGGAAAATGCAGACCCTACTCAATCAAATTCTGACATCAAGGAATGGAAATTCATCAAAACAGTCCTTGAGGCTCAAACACATACTGACTCAGCATGTGACGAGACTAGCCAAGAAGGACGGTGATTCCAGACCTCGGCTAATGAAGATAACCTTCCCATCTTCCCACATGGCGGCTGCAGTTCTGGAAGTATTTCGTGCCAACAGACGTCGATTGCCACCTGGAATCCACATGCACCCGGATAGGCCATACGAAGATAGGACCAAGAACAAAGGCAAGTTGGAGCTGACCATTCCACTTGTGGACTGTCTAAACGATAAAAAACGTGTAAAGGACAGGGCCTACCACCTCGGCAAACCTCATATAGGTAGGCTACCTGTCCATTCACATAAGGTTCATACAGAAAAACAGGACGAAGGTCACGCGTTCCAAATTGAAAGCATAAACTGCTTATATATGAACGCCGCGAGTCTACCAAACAAACTGGATGAACTACGTGAACTTAGCAACGCTAATAAGGCCCATCTGATAGGAATACCTGAAACCTGGATATCTTCTCAGTTCTCGGACCAAGAGTTAGCATTACCTGGGATGACTTTGTTCCGCAACGACAGAAAAACAGGAATTGGGGGCGGAGTAGCCATATACATAAGCTCTTGCTTGGAGGTGCACCAAGTTCACAACCTCGAGTTTAACAATCTTGAGGAATCCATATGGTGCTCTGCAAGAGTGTCTAGTACTTCGAGGTGTCTAGTCGGAGTCATTTACAGGAAGCCAACTGCCGACATCGAGTACGATAGTCGTATGCCGGAAGGACTATCCCGCTCTATCCGTCTCGGTTTCACACACATCCTGATTCTAGGGGACTTTAATCTCCCTAGAGTCAACTTCGCGGAACACACGTACACTGGAGGCGACAACTCAACTGAAGCTCGGTTCTTCAACCTCATCGATAACTTGAGCTTATATGAAAATGTGAGGTCGGCAACTCGTTGGAGAAACAGTCAGACACCATCGCGCTTAGACTGTGTATTCACTAACGAAGAATTCCTAGTCGACAACCTCTCAATCCTGGCTCCTCTGGGAAAGAGCGACCATGCCGTCATAGCCTTCAGTTTTGTCATCAAAACTAAGCTAAGGTATCCCAACAATAATTTGCGTTGGAATTTTAAACGGCTGAATGTGCCAGCTCTACATGACTATCTACAACAGGTGGTTTGGGATGTTCACCTTCAACTCGATGTGGATGGTCATTGGGACTTCTTACTGCACACGCTCTTATGTGCTACAGACCATTCAGTTCCTCAAACGGTTCCAGAAAGCTGCAAGCCACCTACAGTAATCAAGAACCGTACCCTTCGCCTGCTAAGCCACAAAAGGCACTGTTGGGCGGAATACAAACGAACTAATAACGATGAAGCGTATAGGCAATATAAACATATCAGGAACATATGCACGAAGGCTATAAGAGAAGACAGGCTTCAGTACCAAACAAAGCTTATGGACAAATTCGCCTCTAACCCTAGAAGCCTATTCCGTTATGCAGCCTCTCTTCGTCGAGCCAAAACAGGAGTTTCTCAACTGCTAGGTCTTAACGGCCCGACCAACAACGACGGCGACGCCGCTAACCTTCTGGCGGCACATTACTCTCAAACATTTCAACCGGCTGACATCAACTTTATTGACGACAGTTTCATCTGCAGTTCCACAGGACTTTCTGAAGTGGACCTAAGCGCTGACTTGGTGTTCCGGAAATTGCAGCACTTAAGAGTAGATACTTCTCCTGGCCCGGATACGGCTCATCCTGACATACTGAGGGAGGCAGCCTCAATCCTGGCAACGCCGCTTAGCGTGATGTTTTCACACTCGCTTAGCCGAGGCAAATTACCGGAAAATTGGAAGTTGGCTCACATCACACCAATTTTCAAAGGAGGTCGACGCAATGAACCTTCAAGTTATCGGCCGGTGGCTCTTCTGTCATTACCTTCAAAACTCATGGAGTCCCTGATATGCGACGGTTTAAATGACTATCTACTGTCCTTAAATTTCTTCTCACCCCAACAGCATGGTTTCAGGAAGGGTTACTCTTGTATAACCAACCTGCTGACTGCGGTGGACAGATGGACAAGCATCCTCGATTGCAAGGGAAAGGTTGATGTCATTTACCTTGATTTCTCAAAAGCTTTTGATAAGGTTAACCACTTGTGTCTTATCAACAAGCTCAAACAACTAGGTATCAAACCACCCCTAATCGATTGGCTTACTTCATACCTAAAAAATCGACACTTTAAGGTTAGGGTTAATTTCACTTTATCTCAGGGTATGGAATGTCCTAGTTGGATCCCCTGGGGCTCAGTACTAGGGCCTCTTCTCTTCTTGATCTACATAAATGATCTTCCTCAACAGGTAACGTCAGACTTATTACTTTTTGCCGACGACGTGAAACTTTGGAGAGTGATACTCAACCAAGACGATATACAGGCACTTCAGGAGGATCTGACTCGACTTCAAAGTTGGGCGGACGATAATGGACTTACCTTCAACACTTCAAAGTGTAAACTAGTCCATCTGAGATATGTCGCAGACTACAGTTATAACTTAGGTAACCCCTCTCTAGTAGTATCCCAAGTCAAAAAAGATTTAGGAGTTTTGGTGCTCTACGATTTAAAGTCTTACACTAACTGTGACAAAAATGCCTTCCGAGCATGCCTTGCACTGGTAACATTGAAGCGCATTTTTGGCCAGTTTGACGGAAGAACTTTCCATATAGTCTTTGATAGTTTTATTCGTCCCCATTTAGAGTACGGAAACATAGTATTTCCCCCCCACTCCAAAAGGATAAGGACACCCTGGAGCGTACCCAACGGCGAGCCACGAAATCAGTCCGAGGACTCAAATCTAAGCCTTACGAAGAACGCCTCCGTTCACTAGACCTTTACCCATTAGAGCATAGACGTTTTAGATGTGACCTTCTGATGGCTTATAGTATCCTTAACACTTCTAGACATCCTCTCAAACACCTACTTAAGCTTAGTTCCAACACTAACCTAAGAGGTAACACCCAAAAACTGGAGACAACATAGCAGAACGGACTGTAGACACAACTTCTACTCCTTAAGAGTTGTCAAATTCCGGAATACGCTGCCGGGCGAACTAGTCCAAGCGACTTCCCAGGAGTCTTTTAAGAGGCAACTTGATCTATTCTTAAGGACTAAGGATAGTATCACACTATGATTTACTAATTTCTTTTCCTCGTTTATTGTTAACATACCTAGGTTCCTGCCTGGAGGATTTGGTGATCCCCTGCTACTAGACACGGAAGCCTGTTAAGCGAAAGCTTCTTCTATTCCGTCCACAACCATTTGAACCATTTGAACCATTTACGGTGACCTTGGGGGATTGACGCGGGTCAGCCACTTATGACTCTCATATCGGGTCAAATTGCTTGCTTCTAGTTTCGGTTCTAAGATTATCTTGGTCTGAGACGTTTTATTTCTGGTTGCTGTCTACTGCTTTTTGTAGTAGATGTAAGTACGTTGTGTGTGGTTGCTGGGTATTCGACTCGCCTATTTTTTCGTTTACAGTACTCACGCTACTGTGCCTCCTCCCCTACTACACAAAGTACCTTTTGGCTAGATGCATATCGCTACGTACCTGGCGAGCTTGCCAAGATGACAAGACTATGAAGTAATGTGGACTTAGACGTGGTTCTAATTAGGCTACCACGAGTATTGGGACAGTGCTTTGTCAAAAGGGCGAGCTTTAAATCTACAGTTGTAACGGGTTAAACTATGTTTCTAGTTTCGGTCCTCAGATTGTCGTAATATACGGCTTGTACTATTGCTGATTTTTGTCTTTTGTTCTTCGTAGTAAATGTAAGTACATTGCGTCTGCTGAGTCGTTGAATCAACTTTTTCTTTTGTTCTCTTTTACAGTTCTCACACTGCCTGCTCTCCCCTAGTACACAAAGTACCTTTTGGTGAGACGCAAACCGCTTCAATTAGTAAAGGAATTGACTTTTCGTCCCGTTTTTCTTTGCTGGAAAGCTTATTGCATTTACTAACTTGATTTCCAGAGTTTTCTGTCTACACATTTAAACTGTCAAGTCTTGACGTAAGTGTGTCCTATCTGCTCTCTACTCACTTTCTGTTTTTATAGATCATCTTGCTGAATTAATCCTTGCTTCTTTAAACCTACATACACAGTGCTTAACTGTTTCTAATCACAAAGTATTCACAGGTTAAGCGTAAATATTCTAGCATTTAAGGGTCACAGTACAATTCTCATATTTTGTGTACTTGTAAGGTGCATTGGACAGCATCTAGTCCTCGTGGAGCCGAAAGTAATTTAATGAGAAACGTAAGTGGTTAGGTTTACTCTTTTTTACACTTTCGTTTAAAAGATTTTAAAAGCGGTCATTAAGCTATATTGAGACATACTAAGTGTGGTAGTTAGATGTTCGTCATATTTAGATAATTCGTTAAGGTTAATTATCAGGGATTTAGTATGCTTAGTCTAGGTTTCTGTTGAGCCGGCTTATACATAAAGTATGTACCAGTATGCTTCAAATGGGTGCGAATGGAATAAAGCAGTTTTTCGTTTCATGGGTTGTGTCTTGTTCCTTTGTATCAATCAACCACCTATGCCTCCGGATAGGAACCCTGATATGTGAAAACCAAAAATGTGAAGGGCTTTCTAAAATCAACTTATGGTGTTATGCTGAGTTGTCGGAATTTATTCCTAAAGTGGTTCGGGACAGGTTGCTTGGACCACTTCAGATGATAGAAAGTTCCAAAATTTTGAGTTTTGTGGTGTGGTGGACACGTTCAAAGGATTTTTAGAAACGAAAATATTTCATTTGGCTAACTCTTACAACATGAGTACTGATCCAGTTATATCTTGCTGTTAACAGATTGGTGATACAGGAGTGACTTCTTGAAACCATGCCGTTGAGGTATAATGAAGTTTGTCGATAATTAATCATGTGTTCACATCAAACACCAAAAGTCTAGAGGTGGCAACTCATACCAATGCAAATACGTACCGAGTTCTACGTTGTCACTGATTTACGAAATCTCGTTACATATTTAAAAAGACTGGTTGGCTTTTGTCACTTATGGCGTAGACAGATGTCCATCTATCAGTCAATGTGTGTACTGTAGTCGCAGTCTACTTGCGTAGAGTTTGGTTATAAAAGCTACGGAAGGCCAAACCAAGACATAGTATTAGTCCTTAAAGTCAGTGTTTGATGTCCTAGGCCATCGGCGGATGCAGATTACTTGGTTGTTCGCCCGATAACCTTGATCGGTTGTTAGAAACTTTATGTACCATGGCTCGAGATCAGTCCCAATGGTGTGGATTCATCCATTCACAATCAACCTTCACTTCGATTTCGAATTCTAATATTCCTTTATACATACCTTCCTACCATCATTTCGAACTATATCTCAAATGTTTAGGAGTCCTCTATATCATAGCTGCTACACTATCTCAATATGTTCTGCAATTCATCTTGTTAATTTTACCTCATCCTGGCAACATATTATGTAAACTTGAGCCAGCGCACATATTTGCTAGACTCTACGTTGATGATGATTAACTATCACTTACGACAGGTTTGAAAATCAGTTTATTTTCAATGATTTGGCGAATATTGTAAGGGCTGAATATGTTAGTCTATAATGGTCTAACACTAAGCGTTATGCTAATGTAAAAACCTCAGATCCAAATTGCACCTGCTTTCATCAATCTTACCCAAAACCAAATTACTGTATATCTCATTCTCTTCATTTATAGGGTACGTTTTCAGCCAAAACTTTAATTTACTGACGGGTAGAATTAATAGGAGATTCAAAATAACCATTAGCGACCGAGATTTAGTAAGTATAATATAACTTACCGAGCACAAGTTTATGTGCTCGGCGCTGGGCCACATAATAAGGACTAATGATACCACTCGGTTTCCAAGCCCGTTTTGTAAAACATGAGACATGACTGAAAGGCAGGTGCTTTAGCTAACTAACTGGCGCTCCTCAGATTGCAGTTTTATGCTTTTGGGGTTAAGATTCATTGTCTGCATAACGCGTCTTGGTTATCTTATTCGACCATATCAGTCTTAAACAGCGTAAGATTTCATCCTTCATAGTATGGGGAAGGGAAACTAACGTGACTGGCAAAACAGTTGGGATAAGAATATCAAGAATGGTAAAAATGAGACAGTATAGAGTGGTAAAATAAAAAGTACGATATACTATTAAAGACAAAGATTTCTTACTAGCGGTCACCATCTCCAAATTACTTCCCCCCGCATACGTGTGCTTTAAAGGCCTTGGTTAACTTATTTCCATCAGTATGTTATTGATAAATTCCAACTCCTTCATGGTATTTTCTGGGTAGATCGTTTTTGTTTTGTTTGTAAGATATCTGACCAGATTCATTTTGTAGCGCACCGGCGTGAAACTATAGAAGTGTGTGTAGTGGCAAAGAAAGGAGCCCTTCGTATGCACGATTTTGCTTAACGAGCCCCTCAACCCGTCTACTTAGTGAAATGTCAAAGAAATTTAGTCTATTGTCAGGCTCGTTCGGGTTTAGAAATGAGCCAATAGCTATTCCATCAATTTGTCCATAATAATTATCGTTGAAGATAGAATGGACGCTCATCGTATACCTTAAGAGTAATTCCTTGAGTCTATCCTCACAAAAGCCAATGTCGACTTATTTTTTATATTTATGTACATATAAACTCGATTGTCTCGACTAACTGTACATTGGTGAGTAAAGATACAAAATCTAGTAAGATGATGTACGTTATACTTACATTCATGTCTTCCAGGCTGTAGATGAAATCCAAAACATCCTTGACGCCTCTTACGACTGATGTATACCGTAAAGGAGTTGGGATTTATTAGTAACATACTGATGGAAATAAGCTACCCGAGTTCGCTGGTATAACGTTAAAATCCTAACCCGATTTGCTTTTATCCATTAGAATAATTTCGTAATCATTTATGAGGAAATGACGTTCATATAAGTTAATAGCAATCAATATCTTACAGTTCTGGAGAATACTGGGTAGATTAGATTTAAACTGACGGCCAATTAGTTGTAAACCAAACTCTGGGAAGTGTGGTACTTTTACGTATAGTTGTAAGCGTATATACAATGTTGTTAGCTTCATTAATTTACTTACCATCTTTTGTGTTGAAAATCAACAAACCGTTTTCAAGCAAATCGCAAAATAAAATTTAATGCTTTATTCATTCGGTGTAAGCTTATGATAATTTATGTTGCGTTACTGCTTCTGGACTACTGTGGTGGTTGTGATTTCATATTTATCAGAGTATATTTTATTCGTGTTTCCTCCCAGGTTGTCATTTCTTTGAATTTATTCTTGAAAAAGCCTTTTTACCAACCAACTTACGAAAAACTACTTCGAGTTGCTTGTAAACGGCGGATTCATGGATTCACTGATGGGCTTGAAAATATTATCGAAACAAAAGTTTCTGAAACTGATGTTAGTAAACGCATATCTGGTCAAGAGTTGACGTACAAAGGGAAAAATGAGCGTGTCATATTTTCAGCCAATCAAGTAATTCTTACTTTACACGGTTGTATTTTATCATTTATCCTCCAACAGTGCTCAAATAATTATCTATTTCTTAATTGTTTTTAAGTATTAGTGATTTTGAGATATTCACGTTGGTTTAAACTATTATTAGTCGTTATGAGATCACTTGAATAGCTAGTTTTCTAAACCATTTGCCTTCATATCTATAGTCGCTCTTAAAACATTTTTATGATTGCATATGCTTATACAAAGTTATGTGATATCAAACAGTTGTATGCGTTATTGAGTTCATTTTTCTCAGCTGAAAATGTAGTGGTCATAAATCCGTCCAATTACCAGGTGATCTAAAATTGCATTTGACTTTTAAGTTTAGTTGGCACTTAATAATAAGCTACGTTCTACCTCATACTTAACCATTATGGAATATTGTTGTGTTTTCATGGTATGCTGTCGTCATCAATTTTTTTTACAGTGTTTATCTATTTAGTGAATCAAAATCCTAATCATGTTCAAATTCGTAGGTTTACTAGTTTATCTTGCCAGTGTTCATTCATAATGCCAAATCCGTATTGTCATTTATTCCCAGTACTAGTAAATAAACTGCAAGATTTTTATGTTCTTATTGCTTTCGATTTCATATTTATTTGTGTCATACTTGTGTTTGCTGTATCACCAGCTTTTGTTAATGAAATTAGGTTAGTGTCAATCGCCCGGTCGAAGATAGGTGGATGGCTTCTCATTTTGGTGAAGGGGATTTTAGTTCTCTCAGCGATCACAAACAATCGAACGATGAGAAATCGGTTTATGGTGGTACAATATTTACAGTTGTTGATGGGCATGGTGGACATGCTTGTGCTCATGCAGTCAATTTGCTACACAGTGATTACATAATTTCTGGTCTTCTACCTCCAAAAGTTTCTGAAGTTGCTTTACGAAATCTCCACCAAATTAAGGAGTTACGTACTCCGCGTTCAATTTGTGAGTTGGCGGTCACATTGTGGATGACTTCTGGTGCAGTGGTTACCGGGGAATCTGAACGTATCGAGTTCGGTCTGAAAGCGGATATAAATTCCAGATTTCCCAATCCTAATCTGACTTCTATGCATAGTCAGCCTAGTGTTAGCTGGGGGCCTTGGGGTCCCTGGGGCCCTCTACCGTTGTCTGTTCGTGATGCACATACTGGACATATCAGTAAATTCCTTGAAGAATTACTGTCAACCTGTGATGAAAGGGGTAGGTCGCACAGTTTGGATGCTCAACTTACACAATTTAAGTTTTTTCAGCTTTTATATTTTTTTGGATTTATTTAGATTTCATGCGGATTATTTGAATAATAATTTATATAATTGATTAGTTCCATCACCTTCAATTCTCTTTTTGGTGGTAGAAAAGCAGTCCGTGATTGTTTTTGATATTTTTATGTAATTTTATCAATCATATCCGATAGCCTTTCAGTCTGGTTCAATATCCAATCCATTTGTACTGTTGTTTTACATTGGTAGTTTCCTATCGATATGTTGGTGTTAGTTGTGTAGCATCTTAAAACAAAAAAAAACATTTGTGTCAGGTTTTATGCTGTTTATGTTAATTTGTCTGAAGATTTTCGGGATAGACCTTTCAACAAAATGATAGTTGTAAGGTTTGAGGGTCACAAAAGTAGGTTTGTTAACAAAACTTAACAGTATTTCTAACAGTCCAGGCTTCATGTATAGTTTTATGTTTATGCTTTGTCACTGTTTAAATCTCTGGTTAAAAACGTTTACAAGGTGTCGAATTGGTGCAGCAGTGTTCACACTACGGAAAACGAGGTTTATATCAGCATCCCTTCCCGCTTTTCTTAGGCTTTGAGGGTAATGGTTTTGTTTTTGTATTGCCGAACATTAGGTCATAGGGGTATATAAAATCTGATTTATTTGCATTAATTACATTAGTTCACTGAAGTCCCTATCAAAACATAGGATTCAACTTTAGTTTCATCATGTATTTTTCATTCTCTGACCATTCATTGATTCATATCCATATGTTTGTAAACTTTTCATCGTAGCATGCATTTGCTTGACTAATTATTTTTTAATACTACATACTATTATCCATTTGTTAATACGAAAGAAATCATTGGGCCATTTAACTAGTACAATTACTGGATCTTTTTTAATTCCAAAGTGAGTATGTATATTTGCATCTCTTCATCGTCATATTCTGTGTACACTAATGTAGTACAAAAGACGTATCATGAGAATGTATTGCCTTTTAGACCGTATGCTTAGAGGTGCATGACCGTCTAAGGACCTTGAAACGAATGCGTTAATTAGTTCCATCCTCATCATGTTCCTCTAAGTAGCTTCTTGTTGATTGTTTTTTCTAACAGTTCTTTTTGCTTAGTGATTTACTGATTGATTCGCAGTCGATTAGCAGAATGGTTGACTAAATCAAAGTTTTTTCTTACATGAGGGGTGAAGTAGTTTAGTCAGTTATAGATTGCCAGTTCGAACCTTCTTCCTCAACTGTGTTAACTGAAAGTTGAATAAGTTATCAAAGTCGATAATACCTTTAGGGTCAGACGGTAATCAGGGGTTTAAAATATAATTGAGCTTAGACTGTAGACAAGTCAAATTATCATCGTCGTTTAGGCGGCATATTCAGTATTTTATGCGTTTATTTTCGTAAGCTGTTTTTCAAAGCAAATCGTGATACATTTTATTAATGAATAATTAGCTTCGCGGAATTTTTATATATTTGAAGCGTTATGGTTTTCGTAATATTTTAAAAATTTTCACTTCAGAGTTTTTCTTCAGTGATAATAGTGAGGGTGATATGATTGATCCAGATGGGTTCATTACTGCTCCATTAAATGCGATTAAGGAAACTGTCATGAAATACTCCGAGCCTTCGTCTTCGTTAAGGCGATCAGAAGATCCCACTTTGTCCTCAGGTTTGTTAGCTAAGTTTAATCTTCATTCTTTTGATTCAGACTTCGATCAGTCTGTTGATGATTTGCGCAACTATGTAGCGGCTACTGCTTGGGCCCTGAGGAACGGTCTTCTTCGAATGGATCTGGATATGTCCTTGGCAGCATGCCCTACTTTCCATGGTCCTGTGTTAGACAAAGCTTTATTACGTGTTGTGTTTGCTGGCTGTGTAGCAACCTCGGTCTATATACCTCGACATCGAAAAGAAATTTTTGCTGCTCAGGTGAGTTAAAAGTTGCTATACTAAATTTTTAAGTATGTAGATTTTTCTGACCCATAAAAGTCGTTTCCTTGGTACTGGGAGGGGGGTCTTAATCATTGTAATTATATTTAAGGACATACTTTTGCTGCCGAAGATATATTTTGACAAATCTGGTGTTGGGAATTTCGGATATATCCATTTGGTAACAAAAGAGATCTTGACTTTGTCTTACCAAAATAAGTGATCGGGTTTTTCCCTCAGTACATTAATTGTTCTGTAATTAATCTCTGGTTTTATGCATATATAAGACAAAATGTAGTCTGTTTTTTTTAATAAGTTTTACGGTGATATCACGCACTATAATATCCGTTTGCCAACTACCGAAAACTGAACGTAGTAACCCATTCAGAAAGAGTCTGGAAAAATTATACTACAAACTGTACTATAGCTAGACTTCATTAAATTTTCTGAAATCTTCACGGTAACAAATAAAGCATCTAAATTTTTAAATTATTTTGTCGAATTTTTCATAAAGAAATAATATACCTATCAAATCGAGACAGATGATTAGAAGTTGTTCATCGCTGGGTTAGAAGACAAAAACTAACATCTTATTCTCTATGAATACATAACAAATTATTTAGCCTTCTGACCGCCACAAACGTGTTAATGACAGTAAACTTTACTAGCTTTTTCTAGTTAACCATTTTGTGGCGGTTAATATTTCAGTTATTATTCTTAAAAAAATGTACATAGAAGACAGTTATTTTTTAATAACATAAACATAGAAATGTAATTTGTAGGATGTATGAGTCCTTTCCATTTTGTTGTGGTAATATGAGTATGATAGTAGGCGTCAAGTTTACATGTGTCGATAATCAGAAAAAGTTAATATATCAATCGTTTTTCGTCTTTTAGTAATCTGTTTGCATCATTGATTTACACTTTATTTATTTAAACACATAAACATTGGTACAAGGAGGCACCAAATAGATATGCACCACATAGATCATTCGATTTTTGTGAGGGCTGAGATACTGCTCGGATGTTCAGACCGAAGCAGGTGGTTTTCTTAGGGGGCCACACCCGGAGCCTTTAACCTAAAGGTCTGATCCACAAGGCAGTGGAGCAACGTCAGGAGATGCAGTTCCATGGTAGCCGGTGACCAACGACTGGTTCATACGCCATTTATTCCTTCAGGATACTGGAGTACATGTGTACCGTTGGTTTGGAATCAGGGTTTTTCAACTCCCCTAGGTGGATCCTACATATTCACCGACCCGGTTAAAGCGCCGGACATTCGCTTTTCGTCTTCTCAATTTCGTAAAAACACTCCCTCCATGAGAAGGCATTACACTTAGGAAATTCCGATTTCCATGGATGAAGCCCCCTCAACAACTGATCTGATTTATGTGCCGGATATGCATCTTTTGTTCTTTTGCTTTAATGGAAAACTCCAGTACGGGAAATAACTCGGGCTAAAATCATTAGTAATGGTCCTTATTACAGCGTATTTATGGATAGAATATTTATTCGTACTAGATGCACAGAGGTTATCTTGTAGCACTCAGTATCTTATTTTGTAAGTGGAGAGACAACTTTAGTCAAGAAAGTTGTATGATATGTTCCTCTTTTACAGTGGATGCAAAATCTGCTACATCACTCTATGATCTGACTTAAAAAATATGATTACACGAAGTTTAGTTCTACATAACATTCTACACTAAAATTTGTTTTGCAGCATTTACCCGTTGTGAGACGTGTCAGTAACGTTGCTCACTAAAAAAGAACCTTGTTTTTCAAAACGTTACAATATCGATCACCGATATTTTTGTGCAATCCTACTATCAAGACAGCTTACTATTAGATGTGTTTATTTTAGAATTAGAAGAAAAACAATATTGTAAAATTACACTCTCAGGGATTCATGTAGAAATATTTAGTTTTTACTCTTCTGACAAAAATATACGTCTAACTTTCATTCACTGCACTAATAGGCCATTGTAAGTTTGTGTCATATCTACTTATCTACAGCGAACCGGTTATAATTGTCTGCTGTTTTTTTGCTGAATGCATTTATGTATTGGTTTTATGGTTAATGGAAGTATGTTAGCCAAATATAGTTAGCAATTTACGATTCGTTATGAATCATTATGGACTGAAGTTTATTCTTAAGTCGTGTATTCTCGGATTATAATTAGATCATTTAGTTCAACATTTTCCAGGGTTTGTCTTTCTGACCATGATGATGATGTATCTCACTTACAAAGTACAGTTTCGTGTACTCGGCTATGAAGTATGCTTTGAAGGTTAGCGATACTACTCGGCTGCCCAAACCGACGTGGATCGGGGTCCAAAGTTTCTATATAATATTTGAAAGGGGGACGGGTTTATTACCAAACCAGCGCAACACTCCTGACCATAGCTTTTTCTAGTTGTTGCATTTTTCTGTCCTATTGAGTTTGGTTATCTATACATTCTATTTGCATTTGGTTGCTAACTCAACTTCAAAAAGCTTCCTGTAAGTTAATTTATGATAGATTTCTCTACCTCTTTTCTTATTTTTATTATTCAGAAATGAGAAAATCTACTGCATTTATCAAGCTGTTTAGAAAACCAAATAAATGAAACAATAACCAAAATATAATAAAGATAAAAAGTGGTCCAATAAGCTTTCTTATTAAGTTGAATTAGGTAACAGTCGGACAGTTGATAATGCAGAAATAAACATAAACATCGCAAGAGAATTTAATACTAATCTACTAAAATATTGTCAGCAGACCATTAAAAATAAGGCCGAATTAAGATAAGAAAAGGGTTTAAAAACTTGAATTTTTCTATACGTCACAGTGGGTTAGTGGTTAAGGTACTCAGGGTTGAAAGTTGTGTAATATCACTAGTCTTCACAAGAGCGGTATGACTCAAAAATGAGTCAAAAGTGGTCCATTCGAACCACTCTAGTTTTATTTTTGCATTCAACCACTTTTAGGATATTCAATTGACCTATACCAACTTTCCCATAGGTTTCTTTGTATTCACTGTAAGTGGGATCTATGCCTGTAATCTGTTCACTATCGTAAGTTTGCTTGAATCCTCGTTCTCCAATTTATTTTGGACTTTTACACCATCACGCTAACTAATGGTACTTGATGTGCTGATCAGGTGATTTCATTATTCTCCCAATACAAAAGGTTTCACAGCTACAGCTCAATTTATAAATTCCTAATTTGATATGATTAATCATTTTTGGTTATTGTAATGAACATATTGCCCAAATCTAGCGTCTGATGCAAATTTGAAGAGAATGTCTAGCGGTTCTGTCAAATTCTCCACCGAACATAACGTAATTCTCAGAAAACACCACTTAATAATTTTTAGTGTTATTTCTACAACCGTTTATTATCCTGTTAAGCGTTATTACTTTGTTGTTAGTCATCTCAATTGTATGACCTTGAACATGTCAAAAAAATAAATGTTCAGAATTTGAACTTTGATGATATATATATATATATATATATATATATATATATATAGTTTTAAAATCTTTATTTAACAATTCTATTGGTATGAAGACTGTCTTCTTTTTTCTCATAGCTTAAGTGATTGATGTTCTACTGTAGGGAGAACGGTGTAATATGCGAGTTAATATAGCTTATCAGCTTTCACATATTTTAAAAGTAGTTAAAAGTTTTTGTTTTATTATATAGCTAAGCATAGAAATAGAGATAGGTTTTTTTAGCGAAGCAAATTTTAGTCACATATTGTTAATTAGTATTAAAATAGTGGGTATATCCATGCGCAGTAATCACCTTGAAGTAGAAAAGACTAATTAATTTTTCTCACTTTCCTTTTCAATAAAAATCATATTGTTTTGTGTGTTTATGCATATTCATTGTACCATTTTTGATTTAGTTTACCTACTGGTTTAGTAAAGCGTTGGTTTTCATTTTTATTTTTAGTCATGTATAGCTCATTCGGTGCATTTGGGAGCCCTTAATGTAGTTACCAAATAATAAAAATGTTATCAAAGTCACATAGAGATACATTTGGGGAAATTTCCAGTCGTTCTGATATGTCCATGATTATAGTAAATGGACTTAACATCTCGTTTTCATCCACTTATTTCCAGCTCAGCTATAAACGCTAGATCAGGCTAGCTACTTTTGAGTCGACGGAACCTGGGAAAAGATTAATTTGGTGACTGCCTTTAAATCAACTGTAGCGCCAACTAACTGTATTAGATATACTAGTTGTTCAAATGATGGTACTTCCAGTTTGTTGAAGGGAATGCCATTAGATGAATGTAATCTTTGAATGAACTTTACTTAAGAATGTAATCTACACTACGTAAATTATGGTGCTCTGAAAGAAACTTGTTTAGTGTTCTGTTATCAGAAGTCATTTATCACAGGCGTTAAACTGAACGACACCTATTACTCATCCATCCTTTCAAAATTGAACAGATGCTACTACAATGTCATAGAGTATGTGTGTGGTTGGTATGTACCTCTCTAACCTTAGGTTTGTGAAACATGAATTTTCTATCTTTTATAGTTCATTACAACCTACTAGTTGTATGGTGAAATATTCGGTTTACATATACGGGTAATACTGAGCCACCTTGAAAATGTAGCTTGTGGTGTTTATTTCTTTGGTCATCAGGTGCTTAATGGCATTTCGTCAGTCACTGATACTCCACGGCGTATGCTTAAGTCTGTTAAAGTTACCATATCCCATTAACAGGGTGAGATGAGTTTGTCAGTGCAAACATTAAAGTATTAGAGGCAGTAACAGCACTAATGGTTTTAGGAAAGATTAGGTATCAAACTAAGATTCATGAAGAAAGTGTGAATTAGTGGACTAGAAAAAAATTATGAGATAATTTAGAAAATCAGGATCTAAATAAGACAAACAGTAAATGTTTCTGTTCCATTGTGTACGTTGCTGAGCCATGTCACTTAAGTCTTTAACCATTAGTTAAGACAATCATCATGAGAACAACAACCAGGTAGTATACACCT